CGGACCAGGACCAGACCGGGACCAGACCGGGACCAGGACCAGACCGGAGGCTCAGAGCCCACGACAGGGCCAGAGCTCGAAGCTGAGGCTCGGACCCCGCGGAGGCTCAGAGTCAAAGCTTGGAGTCCATCCTGGTCCCGGTCTGGTCCCGCTCTGGTCCCGGTCTGGTTTTGGACCTGCATCAGTCCTGGTTCAGTCCGTACGTGGTGCAAATAGTCCGGCATCGCAGTCACTGAAGTCACGTAAACGGGAAACGGCCGTTATCCGTTTTTTCCATTCTTCATTTAAACACAAAATCGAAAACTGAAAAAACAAATCTTTATCTGTTTTTTCATTTTGGTTTTGGAGACAAATAATGAAGAAAACTGTTGTTTTTTCATTTTCTTATTTTTGGTTTTACATTGAAAAACGAATGAACGAACGGTACATGGATTCAGTGACGGCCCCAAACTCAAGTTGGTCTCGGGCCTCAGGTTGTTCACTCGGCTCTGACTTCGCCGATGTCGCTGAAGATATAAATTCCGATCTACGGTTCAGCGTCGCAGAGACTCCTCGTCCTCGTCCTCGTCCTCGTCCTCGTCCTCGTCCTGCTCCGCTGCGTGTTTTGAGTCGACTAAATGTCATCATGTTTATTTTATTTTCCAGGCAGCAGACTTCCTCCGCCCACGCACCTGTCGGCCAAGTGGATCGACAGTCTGGTCGTCAACGTGTCCTGGTCGGCGCCCAAAGATCTGCCCAAAGGCTGTGAGGTTCACTTCACTGTGACGCGCACTGACAGACAGGTAAAAAAACACTACAAGTCCAGTCTGGAAACACAAGAACTAGTCCAAGATTAGTCCTGGTTTAGTCCTGGTTTAGACCTGGTTTAGTCCTGGTTTAGACCTGGTTTAGACCTGGTTTAGACCTGGTTTAGTCCTGGTTCAGTCCTGGTTTAGACCTGGTTTAGTCCTGGTTTAGACCTGGTTTAGACCTGGTTTAGACCTGGTTTAGTCCTGGTTCAGTCCTGGTTTAGACCTGGTTTAGTCCTGGTTTAGACCTGGTTTAGACCTGGTTTAGACCTGGTTTAGACCTGGTTCAGTCCTGGTTTAGACCTGGTTTAGTCCTGGTTTAGACCTGGTTTAGACCTGGTTTAGACCTGGTTTAGTCCTGGTTCAGTCCTGGTTTAGACCTGGTTTAGTCCTGGTTTAGACCTGGTTTAGACCTGGTTTAGTCCTGGTTTTAGACCTGGTTTAGTCCTGGTTCAGTCCTGGTTTTAGACCTGGTTCAGACCTGGTTTTAGACCTGGTTCAGACCTGAAATAGTCCTGGTTTAGTCTTGATTTAGACCTGGTTTAGATCTGGTTTAGACCTGGTTTAGTCCTGGTTTAGACCTGAAATAGTCCTGGTTTAGTCCTGGTTTAGGCCTGGTTTAGACCTGGTTTAGACCTGGTTTAGACCTGGTTTAGACCTGGTTTAGACCTGGTTTAGACCTGGTTTAGATAGACCTGGTTTAGACCTGGTTTAGACCTGGTTTAGACCTGGTTTAGACCTGGTTTTTTAGACCTGGTTTAGACCTGGTTTAGTCCTGGTTTAGACCTGGTTTAGATCTGGTTTAGACCTGGTTTAGTCCTGGTTTAGACCTGAAATAGTCCTGGTTTAGTCCTGGTTTAGTCCTGGTTTAGTCCTGGTTTAGTCCTGGTTTAATCCTGGTTTAGCCAAAATGTGAAAACAGGAAAATCCCTCTGTGTAATTCATTTATTTCAACAAAGTAACTGTAATCCGATTACCACTCACTGAAACAGTAACTGTAACTGAATACAGTTCACTCATCATTTGTACTCTGATTACTCCGGTACATGTAATCTGTTACTCCCTGACACTGAGTACAAACAAACCTCGTCGTGTGCTGCGTCTTTTTTATTTCTGTTTCAGTCCTTTGTTTCCTTTGTTGTTTTGTTGCAGCCGATTCGCACCAGTCGATCGTTTTTCCTGGAGGATCTTCTGACCGAGACCGTTGCTGAGAAGTGTGCGTCGGTGTCCAGTACAGTTGTAGGGAGTATTATCTGTTACATAAGGGTGAGTTTTGTACAGTTGTAGGGAGTATTATCTGTTACATAAAGGGTGAGTTGTTGTACAGTTGTAGGGAGTATTATCTGTTACATAAGGTGAGTTGTTGTACAGTTGTAGGGAGTATTATCTGTTACATAAGGGTGAGTTGTTGTACAGTTGTAGGGAGTATTATCTGTTACATAAAGGTGAGTTGTTGTACAGTTGTAGGGAGTATTATCTGTTACATAAAGGGTGAGTTGTTGTACAGTTGTAGGGAGTATTATCTGTTACATAAGGGTGAGTTGTTGTACAGTTGTAGGGAGTATTATCTGTTACATAAGGGTGAGTTGTTGTACAGTTGTAGGGAGTATTATCTGTTACATAAGGGTGAGTTGTTGTACAGTTGTAGGGAGTATTATCTGTTACATAAGGGTGAGTTGTTTGTACAGTTGTAGGGAGTATTATCTGTTACATAAAGGGTGTGAGTTGTACAGTTGTAGGGAGTATTATCTGTACATAAGGGTGAGTTGTTGTGCAGTTGTAGGGAGTATTATCTGTTACATAAGGGTGAGTTGTTGTACAGTTGTAGGGAGTATTATCTGTTACATAAGGGTGAGTTGTTGTACAGTTGTAGGGAGTATTATCTGTTACATAAGGGTGAGTTGTTGTACAGTTGTAGGGAGTATTATCTGTTACATTGTAGGAGTTATTGTACATTTGAGTTGTTTCAGTTGTAGGAGTATTAGTTGTTTACAGTTAGGGAGTATTATCTGTTACATAAAGGTGAGTTGTTGTACAGTTGTAGGGAGTATTATCTGTTACATAAGGTGAGTTGTTGTACAGTTGTAGGGAGTTATTATCTGTTGAGTTGTACAGTTGTAGGGAGTATTATCTGTTACATAAGGGTGAGTTGTTGTACAGTTGTAGGGAGTATTATCTGTTACATAAGGGTGAGTTGTTGTACAGTTGTAGGAGTATTATCTGTTGAGTTGTACAGTTGTAGGGAGTATTATCTGTTACATAAGGGTGAGTTGTTGTACAGTTGTAGGGAGTATTATCTGTTACATAAGGGTGAGTTGTTGTACAGTTGTAGGGAGTATTATCTGTTACATAAGGGTGAGTTTGTTGTACAGTTGTAGGGAGTATTATTATCTGTTTACATAAGGGTGAGTTGTTGTACAGTTGTAGGGAGTATTATCTGTTACATAAAGGTGAGTTGTTGTACAGTTGTAGGGAGTATTATCTGTTACATAAGGTGAGTTGTTGTACAGTTGTAGGGAGTATTATCTGTTACATAAGGTGAGTTGTTGTACAGTTGTAGGGAGTATTATCTGTTACATAAAGGTGAGTTGTTGTACAGTTGTAGGGAGTATTATCTATTACATAAGGGTGAGTACCAATCTATTTATGTCATCAAAACATTCGCAATGCAGCGGCGAGTTACGCAAGAAACACACCGACATCGTCACCGGTGCTGAGGAAAGTAAGTCCGGCGAGTCGGCTGGGGACAGTAAAATAAAGCGTTTTTCTTCTCAAAACAACATGTGTTCAAAAGAGTGATACGTTTGCGTCACAAAACCGTCGTCCTCGAAAAAGTCAGAGCTCGTAATCGCTCGGCGCTATTTTCTCTCTCCGTTCGTATCACTGCGCCAGTTTCACTTTGTTTACTGCTCGGAATGTTAGCGATAAACAACACGTCTGATCACGACAAAGACGATGAAAACTTCGCCTTTACCGCAAAACCAAGGGGAGATCTTTGTGAACCCGAATATACCGATGCCGAGTTTCACCAGATGGAGTTAGAACGAGCAGAGAGAGAAGAGACGAGAGACGGAGAAGTGGTACAAGTCGAAGCTGGAGCCACACGCGAGAGACCGAGTGAGCGACAATCACCATCACGTCATTTACAAACTCGTAAACAGCGAACGTAGCGCACACAGGCGAGTTTCATTGTTGACAAAAGCGTTGCATGCTGGGAATTATTTTGGTCGGCGGCAAGAAACACTAATTCAACACGACGGACGGAGCGTGAAAGCACGTAAAGGGTATTGATCCCGGTTATTTATCCACTCTAACGGCAGACGACCCAAGAAATTGGTCATAAACATCGACGAACTCGCCGGACGACTTTCATCAGCACCGAAAACGGCCAGTATCTCGACTCGCCGGACGCTGTCGGGGGTAAATCGGTGTTGATGCACGACGCTGCTCACGAATCCGTGTGTCATTCGTTCATTCATTTTTCAATATAAAACCGAAAATAAGAAAATGAAAAAAACAACTGTTTTCTTCATTATTTGTCTCCAAAACCAAAATGAAAAACAGATAACGATTAATTTTTTTTGTTTTCGATTTTGTGTTTAAATGAAAAATGGAGAAAACTGATAACGGCCGTTTCCCGTTTATGTGACTTCTGTGACTGTGATGTCAGACTTTTACACTGCATACAGACTAAACCAGGACTAAACCAGGACTAAACCAGGACTAAACCAGGAAACCAGGTCTAAACCAGGTCTAACCAGGTCTAAACCAGGTCTAAACCAGGACTAAACCAGGTCTAAACCAGGACCAGGTCTAAACCAGGTCTAAAACCACTAAACCAGGTCTAAACCAGGTCTAAACCAGGACTAAACCAGGACTAAACCAGGAGGTCTAAACCAGGTCTAAACCAGGTCTAAAACCAGGTCTAAACCAGGTCTAAACCAGGTCTAAACCAGGTCTAAACCAGGTCTAAAACCCAGGTCTAAACCAGGACTAAACCAGGACTAAAACCAGGACTAAAACCAGGTCTAAACCAGGTCTAAAACCAGGTCTAAACCAGGTCTAAAACCAGGACTAAACTAGGACTAAAGGGCCAGATTAAAGGTCTTGGAGGGCCGGATCTGGCCCCCGGGCCGCATGTTTGACACCTGCGTCTTAAATGAATCAAACACAGAGCTCGGGTTGGTTGAGCTGGACAGTGTGAAGAATAATTCCACCAGAGATGAAACTAAAACCAAGCAAATGTGTTAGTAAATCCTTAAATATACAGTAATGATGTTAATGTTGTTCTTTTCTCTCGTGTTGCAGCCGACATGAAAGAATGTAAATGTCATTTGTTCGCCGACAGCATGAACTGCTCCTGGATCCCAAACCCCAAACGTGCTCCTCTGTCGCTCTCCTACAGGTGAGATCACAGATATTATCATTTACTCTCTGGAATTTCACGCTTGTGTTGTTTTGTTTACGTGATCCGAGTCTGAACCGGTTTTTAAATCACTCCTTAAAAACGCACCTTTGTTTGTTCAGTGGAAGGAAACTCGTTTATGCGACACGTTTGACGTTTTCTCTGTTTTGGTGATTAAAATGTTTGTGTTTCATATGAATTTTTAGTATCACAGCCACGATTTAGACTTTATTTGATTGAACCGCATCGAATCGATTTGAAATATGTCGTAAGATCAGTGTATCGAGGTATGTATCGTATCGTAGTCTGTGTATCGAGGTATGTATCGTATCGTAGTCTGTGTATCGAGGTATGTATCGTGTCGTAGCCCGTGTATCGAGGTATGTATCGTATCGTAGTCTGTGTATCGAGGTATGTATCGTATCGTAGTCTGTGTATCGAGGTATGTATCGTGTCGTAGCCTGTGTATCGAGGTATGTATCGTATCGTAGTCTGTGTATCGAGGTATGTATCGTATCGTAGTCTGTGTATCGAAGTATGTATCGTATCTTATCGTATCGTAATTCTGACTTGCTTTGGTGAGATTGTAATCGGTATTGACATCGGCTATGATACGATACATACCTAGATACACAGATTACGATACGATACATACCTCGATACAAAGGCCATGATACGATACATACCTCGATACGAAGGCCACGATACGATACATACCTCGATACATAGGCCACGATACGATACATACGATAATAGGCCACGATACGATACATACCTCGATACATAGGCCACGATACGATACATACCTCGATACATAGGCCACGATACGATACATACCTCGATACACAGGCTACAATACAATACATACCTCGATACAAAGGCCACGATACGATACATACCTCGATACACAGGCTACGATACGATACAAAGGTCACGATACGATACATCGACTTATAGTCCGAAAAATACTGTATTTTTTCTTTTTCAAAATGCCTTTCAAAAGGTTCTGTCATAATCCAAACACCTAATGTTTAAAATGACTAAATAAACGAAACGGAGCAAAGGATCGTGGTCTATGTAGTTTTGTTTTTTGCCGCACCAACGCTGTTAATTTAAGCAAAGGTATCACAGCATTTCGTGCGTGCGGGGAATTTATTTGCATTGTATCTTTGCTAAGGGTTTCAGAATGTTTTTATACAATGTTTGCGATCGTGTCCTCTCAGTTTCGTCTTTTTGCATGCACTGTTCGTCTGTTTGCATAATGATGTTTGGGCGGTTCTTATCTCCCTTAGACAAATGGTGAGTTGGGTATTTGCATTCGAGTCGATTAAACTAAATATTATAGACGAGCATGTTCTCACGCGACGGCAAAAACATGTTGTTATCAGGAATTTATGTTGTTATGAGATTCTTTTTTCAGACCAAGAGTTTGTTTTTGTACATGACCGCTTTAAGTCGAAACTGTAAGGTATGAAAACAAACTCTTGGTACGTGCAACATAAATTATTGGAAAATCAAATAGATACTGAAGTTTTTTTTTTTGTGGTGGGAAAAATCAGCTGTTGACGAATCAGAACCGACAAGAAAAAACACAAATAATTTCACAAACTCGCTCCTAAAAGTCCTCGATTACTCAAATTCAACTCTCGTGAGCTTTTAGCCCGGTTTGAATCCATTTTTCAAAATAAAACCAAAAATAAGAAAATGAAAAAAACAACAATTTTCTTCATTATTTGTCTCCAAAACCAAAATTAAAAACCAGATAATGATTCTTTTTTTCAAGTTTTCAGATTTTTTGTTTAAATGAAAAATGGAAAAAATAACAGACTGAACCAGGACTAAAACAGGACTAAACTGGTCTCAGTCCTGGTCTGGTCCCGGTCTCAGTCCCGGTCTCAGCCCCAGTCTGGTCCTGGTCTCAATCACGGTCTGGTCCAGGCCTGGTCCCGGGGTCAGTCACAGTCTCAGTCATGGTCCTGGTCCTGGTCTGGTCCCAGTCTCAGTCCCGGTCTCAGTCCCGGTCTTAGTCCCGGTCTGAGTCCTGGTCTCAGTCCTGGTCCCGGTCTCTGTCCCGGTCTCTGTCCCAGTCTGGTCCCAGTCTGAGTCCTGGTCTCAGTCCTGGTCCCGGTCTCAATCACGGTCTGGTCCAGGCCTGGTCCCGGGGTCAGTCACAGTCTCAGTCATGGTCCTGGTCCTGGTCTGGTCCCAGTCTCAGTCCCGGTCTCAGTCCTGGTCTCAGTCCTGGTCCCGGTCTCTGTCCCAGTCTGGTCCCAGTCTGAGTCCTGGTCAGGTCCTGGTCTCAGTCTCAGTCCCGGTCTCAATCACAGTCTGGTCCCGGTCTCAGTCCCGGTCTCAGTCCTGGTCTCAGTCCTGGTCTCTGTCTTGGTCTCTGTCCTGGTCCTGTTCCTAGTCTCAGTCCTGGCCTCAGTTCTGGTCTCAGTTCTGGTCTGGCCCCAGTCTCAGTCCCGGTCTCAGTCCTGGTCCCGGTCTGGTCCTGGCCTCAATCACGGTCTCAACCCCCGGTCTCTGTCCTGGTCCTGTTCCCGGTCTCAGTTCCGGTCTTGTCCCGGGCCTGGTTCAGTCCTGGTTCAGTCCGTTATCCGTTTTTTTCCTTTTTTCATTTAAACACAAAATCGAAAACTGAAAAAAAGAATCATTATCTGTTTTTTCATTTTGGTTTTGGAGACAAATAATGAAGAAATGAAACGTTTTATTTTGAAAAACAAACGAACCCGTAGTCCATTTCCGAGTTTGACGTTTGTTCATATTTTCCGCTTTTGAACAGTTTCTTTTAGCGCCGTTTTTTACAATGTTTGACTTGTGCCTTTTCCTTGACGCAGGGAGTGTGGATCAACGCTGAAGCTCATTAAAATGAACTTCACCAAATGTCAGCGGACGAACCACATCGGACCCAAACGAGTGTGTCACCTGACAGGAAACTTCCTCCAGAAAGACCTGTGCATGGTCGCCGAGTCCCCCGACGCCCTCAGCACCTTCAGAGCCCCAAAAGGTACACCACGTTTTATAACATTCGTAAAAAAAACACTTATATACGATACAATCACGATACGATACAAACCTCGATACGAAGGCCACGATACGATACATACCTCGATACAAGCCACGATACGATACAAACTCGATACGAAGGCACGATACGATACAATACCTCGATACAAAGGCCACGATACGATACATACTCGATACAAGGCCACGATACATACCTCGATACAAAGGCCACGATACGATACATACCTCGATACAAGGCCACGATACGATACATACCTCGATACAAAGGCCACGATACGATACATACCTCGATACAAAGGCCATGATACGATACATACTCGATACATACGATACGATACATACCTCGATACATAGGCCACGATACGATACATACCTCGATACATAGGCCACGATACGATACATACCTCGATACAAAGGCCACGATACATACCCGATACGATACATACCTCGATAGGCCACGATACGATACATACGATACAAGGCCACGATACGATACATACCTCGATACGATACATATCATACATAGGCCACACGATACATACCTCGATACATACGAACGATACGACATACACGATACGATACATACCTCGATACAAAGGCCACGATACGATACATACCTCGATACAAAGGCCACGATACGATACATACGATACGAACGATACGATACCTCGATACAAACAATCGATACATACCTCGATACATAGGCCACGATACGATACATACGATACATACGCATACGATACAAAGGACGATACGATACGATACATAACGATACGATACATACGATACGATACATACGATACTACGATACATACGATACATACGATACACGATACATACGATACGATACATACGATACGATACGATACGATACTACATACATACGATACTACGATACATACGATACATACGATACGATACGATACGATATACGATACACACGATACGATACATAGGCCACGATAGATACATACGATACATACCACGATACGATACATACCTCGATACAGGAAGATACACGCCATACGATACATACGATACGATACATACCTCGATACATAGGCCACGATACGAACATACCTCGATCACGATACATACGATACATACGATCGATACATACGATCGATACCCATACAAGGCCACGATACGATACATACGATACCTACGATACATACCTCGATACAAAGGCCACGATACGATACATACCTCGATACATAGGCCACGATACGATACATACCTCGATACATAGGCCACGATACGATACATACGATACAAAGGCCACGATACGATACATACCTCGATACAAACGATACGATAGGCCGATACGATACATACGATACAAATACGATACGATACAAAGGCCACGATACGATACATACCTCGATCGATACGATAGGCACGATACGATACATACCTCGATACGATACATACCTCGATACAAAGGCCACGATACGATACATACCTCGATACAAAGGCCACGATACGATACATACCTCGATACAAAGGCCACGATACGATACATACCTCGATACATAGGCCACGATACGATACATACCTCGATACATAGGCCACGATACGATACATACCTCGATACAAAGGCCCGACGATACATACCTCGATACAGGCCATACGATACATACGATACATAGGCCACGATACGATACCTCGATACAAAGGCCACGATACGATACATACGATACCACGATACGATACATACCTCGATACATAGGCACATACGATACATACGATACATACTCGATACATAGGCCACGATACGATACATACGATACGATACGATACCTCGATACATAGGCCACGATACGATACATACCTCGATACACAGGCCACGATACGATACATACCTCGATACAATTAAATACTCGTCTGCTGCCCCCTGGTGGTCTGTCCATGGTTTTCAGTAAATAACAGAGGAGACATTTTCAAAACGGACTGCATTTGTGGGCGTGACTTTCTCTGTTTTTGGAGAAACAACTCCAACAACAACTCCGGGAAAAGGTTAAGTAAGAAAGTGTAAGAATCGCCTAAATATTGTTAGTGATTCTCCAATATGAACATTTACTTTCTTAGATTAATCTATGACGTCTTCATATTTTTCTTTTCACTTTGTAGAAAAATTGTTTGTATCAAATTTGATACAGCAGGTCTTTGTGTTTCTGTTCCTCATCATCACTATAATGTATTTTATGATGCAATCTGCAGAATTCATGTAATTCCATGCAAATAAACCACTGCACCTTTCATTTATATAGAGTCATGTGAAGATCAAAATTCCACCATTATGTAATAAACTGAAAATATATTTTTTAAGATGACATCTTAGTTATGAAATACTAAAAATTGTGTGGTGTTAAATTTGCATGGAATTGCATGAATTCTGCAGATTGCATCATCAAATGATGATTCATAACTAATCTTAAAAAATATATTTTCAGTTTATTGCATTATGGTGGAATTTTGATCTTCACATGACTCTATATAAATGAACGGTGCAGTGCTGTACATTAGGGGTGTTCAATACGTCGATCGTGATCTACCAGTCGATCGTCAAGGTCGTGTGTGTAGATCGCCGTGTCTCGTCTCGGACTCGCGTTTGGACTCGGTCTTGTCTCTCACTCGAGGTGTGACACTCGACAAGTGTGATCATATTTCATTCCGGCCGCTGCTGTTGGTAATAAACTTGTAGCGGGTGCAGGAGCGTGTGGGGCGTCTCAGTGCAGCCTGTGCGCTCATTTGAAACCCGCGGAGACTCTACGGCGCATCACAAACACACACGCTCCCTATGCACGGCTCGTCTGCGACAGCGTGTGCCCTCGTGTACCAGCGTGCATCACAGGGCAGGTTCAACTTCCTAAACATCCTACCTGTCCATCTGCCTCACGTCAGCACGCCGCCCCTCGCCTTTTCACGCTCTCGCTCCTTCCTGCGTACAGCCAACACAAGCCCCTCCCACAGTGCGGCTGATTAGAAGAGCAAGACCAAACGTGAAGCAAAAACCAGTCTAAATTTGTGTTCCAGTGTCGGCACAAAGCAGGTCTACAGCATAGAGCGGATCTACAGAACAGACCTACTGCCACATTTGGCTGAAGTTTGTCTAACAAAAGTGACAAATGCATCTGTGTTTGTCACGATGTGCGTTTGGTTTGGTAAACGTGCAGAGGCTGGTAAATATCACTGCAAAACCAGAAAAGAATGAAACTCCAGTTTGGAACTTTAAAAAACAGGTTTAAAAATCTTCCTTCACTTTTTTCACAGTTTTGTGTAAAGTGCCAGAGGAAGTTCTCTTAAAGAAGAGGTTCTCAAACTGTGGGGGAGGGTCCAAAAAAGGGGCACAGAGTGTTTCAGTGCAGTTTGTTTGGCTTTGTATTAGGTCAATCATTTTGACTTGGTCATTTTGTAAGTAGCTCACATGATGAAAAAGTGTGAACACCCCTGATGTAAACACAGTTTAGTCCTGGTTTTAGTCTTGGTTTAGTCCTGGTTTAATCCTGATTTTAATCCTGGTTTTAGTCCTGGTTTTAGTCCTGGTTTAGTCCTGGTTTTAGTCCTGGTTTAGTCCTGGTTTTGTCTTTCATTTGAGGCTCGGAAGAGGATTTTTATTCTCAATGAGACTTTTTCCTGGTTAAATAAAGGTTAAATAAAAATAAATAAAAAATACATCTGCTCTATTTGAACTACAAAAAAGAAAACGATAAACGCTGTTCCCTTTTAAATATAAATTCTAAACACACACTCGGGGCGTAATTCTGCAGTACTGCTCGAGGGAAGTACGGCTTTTAATTTCCTCATTTCATCATCAAATTCCGTTTTTGATGAAGAAACTATTGTTACATTGACCGGAAAATCGTGTAATTTAACTGTTGAAAGGATTTGTACGTTTCCTCAGAATGATTTAAGTTTCTTGTAAGATTCTGATGTGGTTTCGCAAGACCCTAAGGAAAGTTTACACATCAACGTTCACAGGAAATCCACTCCAACAGACTTTATATTCTGATTTATGAAATTCAAAACACTTTAACGCCACGAGTGAGAGGAGAAAAATGGATTAAAACCCCAAATGCGCGAGGATGCGACGATGTCCGAGCGTCACGGGCCGATATCGTCACCGTACGATCCTCGCCGTTCGATATTTATGAAGATATTTTGTCTGTGCAGGCTGCGAACAAAACTGTGAGTAGGACCGGGACCGAGACCGGGACTAGACCAGGACCAGACCATGATTGAGACCGGGACTGAGACCCGGGACTGAGACCCGGGACTGAGACCCGGGACTGAGACCCGGGACTGAGACCCGGGACTGAGACCGGGAACAGGACTGGGACTGAGACCGTGATTGAGACCAGGACCAGACCGTGACTGAGGCCGGGACTGAGACCGGGAACAGGACTGGGACTGAGGCCGGGACTGAGACCGTGATTGAGACCAGGACCAGACCAGGACCAGACCAGGACCAGACCGTGACTGAGGCCGGGACTGAGGTCGGGACTGAGGCCGGGACTGAGGCCGGGACTGAGGCCGGGACTGAGGCCGGGACTGAGGCCGGGACTGAGGCCAGGACCAGACCAGGACCAGTCCAGGACCAGAGCTTGATTGAGACCAAGACTGAGACCGGGAACAGGACCAGGACTGAGACCGGGGACTGAGACCGGGGACTGAGACCGGGACTGAGACCGGGAACAGGACTGGGAACAGGACTGGGAGTGAGGCCGGAACTGAGACCAGGACCAGACCAGGACTGAGGTCGGGACTGAGACCGAGAACAGGACCGGGACTGAGACCGTGATTGAGGCCAGGACCAGATCAGGACCAGACTGTGATTGAGGCCGGGACTGAGGCCAAGACTGAGGCCGGGACTGAGGCCGAGAACAGGACCAGGACTGAAAACGGTTCAGTCCTTGTTCAGTAAATGAGAAACGGTCGTTATCCTTTTTTTTTTTCAGTTTTTCATTTAAACACAAAATCGAAAACTGAAAAAACGAATCATTATCAGTTTTTTTCATTTTGGTTTTGGAGACAAATAATGAAGAAAATAGCTGATTTTTTTTCTTTTTCTTATTTTTGGTTTTATTTTGAAAAACAAATGAACGAACGACACACAGATTAGGACTAAACCGGACTGAACTAGAACTGAATCAGGACTAAACCAGGACTAAACCGTTTTCGGTCCTGGTCTGGTCCCGGTCTCAGTCCTGTTAATATGCGACTTTTTCCTCTTGACAAGACTTAACCCAAAAAAACTAAGAGTTAAAAGTGTTAGAACTGTTATTTCTTCTTGTCGTCTGCACTGAAATGGAGCAAAGGATCATGGTCTATGTAGTTCCCTCTGTGTTTTTTAATCTATTTCTGCACCAAAACTCTTCATTTAAACAAAGACACTTGTAATTCGATATATTTTGATGCTCCACGATATTATTGTGAGAACTTTGACGATACGATATCACGATATTTCAGGTTTTGATTTTGTGTTTAAATGAAAAATGGAAAAAACAAATAACGGACTAAACCAGAACTAAACCGGGTCTAAACCAGGACTAAACTGGGTCTAAATCAGGTCTAAACCAGGTCTAAACCAGAACTAAACCAGGACTGAACCAGGACCTAAACCAGGTCTAAACCAGGTCTAAACCAGGACTAGAACAGGTCTAAACCAGGTCTAAACCAGGACTAAACCAGGATCTAAACCAGGTCTAAACCAGGACTAAACCAGGACTAAACCAGGACTAAACCAGGTCTAAATCAGGACTAGGAACCAGGTCTAAACCAGGTCTAAACCAGGTCTAAACCAGGACTAAACCAGGACTAAACCAGGTCTAAACCAGGACTAAACCAGGACTGATCCAGGACTAAACCAGGTCTAAACCAGGACTAAAACAGGTCTAAACCAGGACTAAACCAGGACTAAACCAGGACTAAACCAGGTCTAAACCAGGTCTAAACCAAGACTGAACCAGGACTAAACCAGGTCTAAACCAGGACTAAACCAGGTCTAAACCAGGACTAAACCAGGTCTAAACCAGGTCTAAACCAGGACTAAACCAGGACTGAATCAGGACTAAACCAGGACTAGAACAAAGGTCTAAACCAGGACTAGAACAGGTCTAAAGCAGGACTAAACCAGGACTGAACCAGGACTAAACCAGGACTAAACCAGGACTGAACCCGGACTAAACCGGTCTCAATCCTGGTCTGGTCCCGGTCTCAGTCCTGTAAATATTCTACTTTTTCCTCTTAAAACACCTTGACAAGATTTTATCCAAAGAACTAAGACTTAAAAGTGTTAGAACTGTTATTTCTTCTTGTCGTCTGCGCTGAAATGGAGCAAAGGATCATGGTCTATGTAGTTCTCTGTTTTTTTTTATGTATTTCTGCACCATAACTCTTCATTTAAGCAAAGAGACTTGTAATTCGATATATTGTGACGGTCCACGATATTACTGTGAGAACTTTGACGATACGATATCACGAAGTCTTGGTTTCTTTCTTACAAGGTTTGATATTTAACAAAACTAATCTGCCGTGTCCCAGTTGGATTTGTTAAAATAAAGGCCAAAGTGTCATGAATAATTTTTGTTTTTTTGTTTTTTTGTAGCCGTGAAGCTTCCAGAAAAAATGGAAATATCGGAAGAGGGGTCCAACCTGGTCTTGAAACTGATGCCGTTAGACGTGGTGATACCCAGTTCTGTTTACTACATCTCTTATTCAATCTGCGACAAAAACTTGGTGAGTACACAGTAAACTTTTTTTTTAAATAAAAGAGACTTTGCACCGTCACGTGACCCCTATAGCAACGGTAACTACGCCGCCATGACCGCGGGCACGATATGTCATTGACTTCAGCAGCATCGGAGAAACATGGGCAGGTTTTGTTGTGTATTTGGTTGTTCTTGACCAGGGGTGTCAAACTCATTTTGTTCCGGGGGTCGTGTCCAACCGACTTTGATCCCAAAGTGTCTGGATCAGAAAACTCATGTCATATAAACCCCAAAAATAACAATAAGTTCAAATATTTGTGCAGAGAAACACAAATCTATTACAGAAATCTTTTTTAATTGATGAACTATTTCTTATTATAATATTATGAACAACCTGAAACCTTAAGAAAAATGCAATTTCAACACAATGTTTTAACATGAACTTGGATGCAAATAGGAATAAGTCAGTTTTTCACTCTGCGTTTACTTTTCTCATGTTGGACATTTTTCTGATGAGGGTGTCACGGTCAACAGTCAAAACGATCGTCCTTTAAGAGCGTTTGGAAAGAGACAAGTCTTCATTTGTGCTGCTCTGGTGGGAGGGGCCACGTACAGAGACGCTGGAGACCAAATTACCAATATTTAAATAGAAAATATAATCAAAATATTTTAGTAGAAAATCAGCCGAGGGCCAGATTAAAGGTCTTGGAGGGCCGGATCTGGCCCCCGGGCCTTATGTTTGACACCTGTGTTCTAGACGCTCTGAAACGGGTTAAAACGATTCATTTCTTCACTGTTCCTCTGGAAATGACTCATCAGGATCAAACAAGGGAATTATCGGAAAAAAAAAGAAAACAGGAATTATGTCTAGAGAACATAAACCGTGAAGAGATTTCCTATTGCACCATCAAGACACACCACGTCAGTTTCATCAAGGTATTTGCTATTTAAATAGTTTCATAGTTTATTTAATGAAAGAAGCACATTTACTGAACTAAAATGTCATTAATTTATCCAGGAAAACCTGCACTAGTTTACGATTCAACGAACCCACACTGGGCTCCTGTGATCAACACGACGCACGAGTCGAAGAGTCTGTGAGCCGAACCTCGAAAGAATCGACCATGAAAAGATCCTCGCGAACGTTAGAAAGATCCACTCACAAAAAACGATTAATTCTAGAAGACAAAGTTATGGTTAAGCAAAACAATGAGGAAAACATGATCCTACGACGAGTGACATGTTTATATGTGCTGGAAGAGACAGTTTCTACTGCCACTCACACTGCAAATGTTTTCTTTTTACATTTTAGTTCAGTAAATGTGCTTCTCTCATTAAATAAACTATGAAACTATTTAAATAACAAATACTTGATGAAAGTGACGTGAGTGTGTCTTGATGGGACCACAGGAAATCTCTTCACGGTTTATGTTTTCTAGACATAATCCGCGTCTTTTTTCCGATAATTCCCTTGTTTGATCCTGATGAGTCATTTCCAGAGGAACAGTGAAGAAACATTTTATCTTGTTGAGAGCGTCTAGACCAGAAGTGTCAAACTCATTTTGTTCCGGGGGCCGTATCCAACTTACTTTGATCCCAAAGTGTCCGGATCAGAAAACTCATGTCATATAAACCCCAAAAATAACAATAAGTTCAAATATTTGTGCAGAGAAACACAAAATCTATTACAGAAATCTTTTTTAACTGATGAACTCTTTCTTATTATAATATAATATATGAACAACCTGAAACTTTAAGAAAAATTCAATTTCAACACAATGTTTTAACATGAACTTGTATGTAAACAGGAATAAGTCAATTTTTGTTGTAAAATCCTGCACTCGGCTCCACTTTTCTCATGTTGGACATTTTTCTGATGAGGGTGTCACGGTCAACAGTCAAAACGATCGTCCTTTAAGAGCGTTTGGAAAGAGACAAGTCTTCATTTGTGCTGCTCTGGTGGGAGGGGCCACGTACAGAGACGCTGGAGACGCTGCTGTGATAAACACCACAGAAAATTAACAAGATTTTAATAGAAAATATAATTGAAAATATTTTAGTAGAAAATCAGTCGAGGGCCAGATTAAAGGTCTTGGAGGGCCGGATCTGGCCCCCGGGCCGTATGTTTGACACCCCTGGTCTAGAACAACCAAATACACAACAAAACCTGCCCATGTTTCTCCGATGCTGCTGAAGTCAATGACATAGTGTGCCCGGTGTCATGGCGGCGTAGTTACCGTTGCCATAGGGACATGTGACGGTGCAAAGCCTCGATGTGAACGTGTGATGCTCAGTGCGTGTGTCCGTTTGTGTAGGACATGGAGTATCCGATAGGAGATCAATCCAAAACAATACCGTATGATAAAAGCTGCCAGTACAAGTTCCGGTACCAGGCCCGCTTCACTCGCTACAGCTTACAGTTCTACAGTGACTGGAGTGAGGAGTTCGTCTACGGTGAGTCATTTTTGCACATCTCAGCTTTTCTTTTTTGGCTTTATAACTTTCAATTCCTGTTTTTAAAGGGAAACGGCGATTCCTGATCTGATTCCCTTTTCGCAAACCTCCGAAGCCAGTTTCTCGAGCCGTTTTCCGCTGTTAGGATCCGACAACCGCACAATTACGACGTCCGAATCTTCAAAACTAAAATATGACGATATCAGAACCAGGAACAAAGACTAAGTTTACACTGAAACGTATCGTCGTGTCGCCGCGTCGGAAACGACCTGCGTCCAGACACGTCGTTTCTGTGTCCGTAAGTCTTCCCTGTCCACGCAGCTTTGAGCACATTTGTTTACGTTTTACAGAGACGAAACTTCAAACCACATGGCTCATTTGCATAAACTTAGCGCTCAAAAAAACTCGCTCGCTCTTGTTTCCTGACGAGGTTCAGCTTCTGTCGGACTAAAGGACTCGGCTCGGTGGAGTATGAGTGTTCTTTCTGAATCCGTGTGTCATTCGTTCATTCGTTTTTCAATATAAAACCAAAAATAAGAAAACGAAAAAACAACAGTTTTCTTCATTATTTGTCTCCAAAACCAAAATGAAAAAACAGATAATGATTCGTTTTTTTTCACTTTTGGATTTTGTGTTTAAATGAAAAATGCAAAAAACGGATAACGACCGTTTCCCGTTTACGTGACTTCTGTGACTGCGACACCGAACTATTGCACCGCGTACGGACTGAACCAGGACTGATCCAGATCCAGGACCAGACCGGGACCAGAGCGGGACTAGGGCGGACTCCGAGCTTTGACTCCGAGCTTTGACTCCGAGCCTCAGCTTCGAGCTCCGGTCCTGCCGTGGGCTCTGGTCCCGGTCTGGTCCTGGTCTGGTCCCGGTCTGGTCCTGGTCTTGTCTCAGTCTCAGGCCCGCTCTGGTCCGCTCTGGTCCCGCTCTGGTCCCGGTCTGGTCCCAGTCTCAGTAGCACTCTGGTCCCGGTCTGGTCCTGGTCTGGTCCCGGTCTTGTCTCGGTCTCGGTCTCAGGCCCGCTCTGGTCCCGGTCTGGTCCCAGTCTTGTCTCGGTCTCGGTCTCAGGCCCGCTCTGGTCCCGGTCTGGTCCCAGTCTCAGTAGCACTCTGGTCCCTGGCTCTGGTTCCCGGTCTGGTCCCGGTCTGGTCCTGGTCTTGTCTCGGTCTCAGGCCCGCTCTGGTCCCGGTCTGGTCCCGGTCTGGTCCTGGTCTGGTCCCGGTCTGGTCCTGGTCTTGTCTCGGTCTCAGGCCCGCTCTGGTCCCGGTCTGGTCCCGGTCTGGTCCCGGTCTGGTCCCGGTCTGGTCCTGGTCTGGTCCCGGTCTGGTCCTGGTCTTGTCTCGGTCTCAGTAGCGCTCTGGTCCCGGTCTGGTCCCGGACCTGGTCCAATTGAACCAAAAGCTCTTAGTTCGGTTCATTTGTTGGATTCTTTGCACCGCCTCAGAACCAGCCGCGGTTCTTGAGCGCGGAGGACCTGAGCACCCGTCCGGACCTGTAGTCCACAGAACATTCTCACTTTCCCCACACAGAACCAGCGCGCAGACGATGACACGGAACCGCTCGGACCACTGGTCCATGTCAAAAGATCAGATATGTATCGGTTTCAGGAGCACAGATCCAAGTGTCCTGGGTCACATTTGAAAAAAACCGATCTGTGGTTCAGACGTCAATAAAAGATCAGATACAGGAACATAGAGGCCAAAAAATCGGATTCGGGTCACTTCAGGCTGCAGTCTGAACGCCGCCTTAGTGTTTTGGCGGTGAATTACTTGGCGGCGCACAGACCTACATCAGAGTATCAGCGTTTTCAGGCGTCCACACGGTGCCGGATCAGATCTGTACTCTGGCGGCACCAGATCGTTCCGTCTCTGGAGCCGTTTTCAGTCGGATTAACGAACACCGCATCCGCGACGAAAACCACTCGAATACGAACTAGTGTGGACGGGTTCAAAAGACTTTAAAAAAGATTGGCTTTGACAACGGACGCGTCCCACTGGGAAATCAAACGTGCTCACTTTTCCTTCCCAATCCGTTGCGCGATGACGGGAAGTCCGAATCTGGCGATGCACGTATTGGAAGTAGTCGATTCTGTTAAACATTTAGTTGTTGAACTGATCAGAACATCGTCGTTTAAAAAGCGCATACGTGAAATAAAATCAGTCTCAGATTAGATTAATTCGTCTCACACGGATGTTGACAAACGTTTTAACTTTCAGTAATATTTTCACATTTTACCTTTTGCAATATTGTCACTGGTAAGAAACTCTGCAAAGTCTGAGCAAACAACAAACTGCAGGTACTTGATAAGAAACCACATCATTATTGCAATATCGTTAAGAAACATTTGAGAATGTCGTCACCGTTGGCCAATCTTAGTCTTGTGTATGAGGTTTTTTCACAACCAAGCGCGACCACATCTAAAGAGACCGTGTGAAAACGGAAGAGTCTGGACCAGAGCGCTTTCTAGACCAACGTTTCACAAACTTTTTTTCCTTCGCGACCCAAGTCCATAGACATTATTCGTAAATCACAAACTAAAGGTGGATTATTGAACATTAAAGGTTGTATGGAGGATTTTTTTTTAGTTTCAAACTGTCAGTGAAAGATTAAAATACCATTACAGAGACGCAGCAGCTTTGTAATTATGATGACCAAAAAAAAAAAGAACTAAAATCTATCAACTGTGGACGTGTTGAGGCCAGATAAACATCAGCCAATAGAAAACGAGGCTCCCTCACTTTCTATTGGCTGTTGGGTTGTCAATCAAACTCCCTAGTGTAACTGACTCGTCGGAGCGCGGGGATTACGTGGTTTACGCAGCGGTTCTTAGAGAGGCTTTTTCGAACTGTCGCTTCCTCGCATTTCACACAAAGTTTGTCGCGACGGCGGACGAGAATCCACGACCGGTTCGCCGCGAAAGAAAGTCCGTTTTTGAGGTCGCTGAAAGAAGAAGAGAAGAGGAAAAGGAGCAAAGCCAAACTGAGGTGATTCTTGGAGATCTCGTCCAGCGATGGCGCGACCGAAGCAGACGAAGGGTCTAAAAACTGACGCGTCGGTCGCTGAATTACTTCTAGACGGGAAACTTCAACAGTAATTCTGAACGCGCACAAGGACTGTCGCTGTATTTCCCTTCCCTTAAAAAAATCCTCTATACAACCTTTAAAGAGGATATTTTATTGTTGACTGAGTGATCGAGTCTCTGAACAGTTAGAATTACTCACAATGAAAAACCAGCAATAAAAGGATCCAGAAGTCGTTCATTTATTTTTCAAAATAAAACCAAAAATAAGAAAACTAAAAAACAACGATTTTCTTCATTATTTGTCTCTAAAACCAAAATGAAAAAACAGTTAAAGATTTGTTTTTTTCTGTTTTCGATTTTGTGTTTAAATGAAAAATGGAAAAAAAAACAAAAACGGATAACGGACTGAACCAGGACTAAACCAGGACTGAACCAAGTCCAGGACCAGACCAGACCGGGACAGAGTCTAGAACCAGGACCGGGACTGAGACCGGGATCAGACCAGGACTGGACCAGGACTGAAACCAGGAGTGATAGCGGGAACAGGACCGGGACTGGGACCAGGACTGAGACCGTGAGCAGACCAGGACCGGACCAGGACTGAGGCCGGGACCAGACCAGGACCAGACCAGGACTAGACAGTGACTGAGACCGGGACCAGATTGGGGCCAGATCGGGACTGAGACCAGGACTGAGACCGGGACTGAGACCAGGACTGAGACCGGGACTGAGACTGGGACCAGAGTAGAACTGAGACCAGGATTGATAGCGGGAACAGGACCAGGACTAGGACCAGGACTGAGACTGTGAGCAGACCAGGACCGGACCAGGACTGAGGTCGGGACCAGACCGGGACCTTTACGACATATAAACATAACGACTCTAGATCCACATCAGCTGTTTGACATTATAATGTGTTTAATTCAGTTTTGTTCAAATCTCACAGAAACAAAACTTAAAACCGCATCACTAATTTACATAAACTAAGTGAAGATAAAACTCCAGCTCTTGTGTCGCTGATGTGGTTCAACTTGTGTTGGATTAAAAGACATGACTCAGGTGAATACAGGTCAGTGTGACCAGATTTGTGTTTGTCAAAACCAGGACAGCGTACGGGGGGAGGGGGGCGGGGCCTCGTCATCCACATTGAGCGACTCTCACCTGGAAAAACTTTTTCCCACTGGACACAGAAACATATGTGCTGCTTTATCCACTGTGCACATGGACTCACACTTGTCCCGACGCAACGGAAAGTGTGGAATTTCTTCTACAAATCCTGGTTAAATCCACATTTGTGCTTCGGTTCGTTACAGACTGACCCACTGTTTGTGTCTCGCTCCTTCTGATGCAGAGACACATGTACACACCTGTTTGGTCACGATACACACAGCAACATACATTCAGTTTGTCGATTTATAATTAACATGATTGATGAAATTCTTAATGATCAATTATCGATTAATCGACTAATCATGCCCATCCCTAGTCATAAGCATCGACGGACGCCAAATCACCCTTTTCAGCCCCGACAGAGCCTGGACCAAACCAAATTTCTGGTCAGAATCTCCAACTACCTGGACAAATATCCACAATGACTTGGTGGAAACTCCTGGGCCGTTCACAGCAGAAAAGATGAAAACCTCCAAGAGTCTCGATGTGTTGTTGAACTTGTTGGAGTCCACGGTTTGTTAGGATCTTCTACGTTTGCTCTGCGGATGTTTGAAAGTCGTTTAATTCACCGTTAGCGGTTCTTTTCACTCAGAACACGAAAAAGACATTTTCCTTCTTCCGTGCTTCTATTTGTGCGTCCGATAATGCAGCAGGAATTTACCATTATCAGGGAGAAATACACGAGGTTACGCACTGTGTTTGACGCTACCGTGTTTCTTGCCTCCGATGAAAATATTTCCCAGCAGCAACGCGGGCTTTTAATAACAATGACGTCAGCTGAAACTCGCTTATACAACCTTTAATTCCAGATCGTCAAACTTTGCGTTTTAAACGTTAAAACGTCTCACCATAAAAGTCAGTGAGTGTTTGGCAGTTACTTTAGAGGCACTTCAAGGTTCACTTCTAAAATATAAAACAGAACTCTGCCTTATAATTACTGAAACCACCGACTGTAAACCTGCTCTACTTGTTTTGTAAATATCCTTCTGAATCTGAATGGTTTGTGTGCGTCAGGTTCCACTGACAGGACCCTGACCGTGGTGGCCGTCGTGATCCCCATAATCGTCTCCGTCTGCGTCATTCTGTCCTGCGTCTGCTTCAGGAGGTAAGACTTTCGTACTTTCAAGCGCATTTTTTTACACTCTTTTATAATAAGCAGTTGGCACCAGGAAGTACTTTGCTTCTTTTCAACCAGCCTGTCTCAAATGTCTAATCTTTTAAGAATTTCGACGCCTAAGTTCTTAGAATCGTGTTGATAATTGAGACTAAGAACATTTTGTTTCCCAACTGGCAGCAGAAAGCATGAAACTCTTTAATTGGTCTGTCACAATAATTACTGTGTGAAATTATCATTTAGTTAATGATGGGTGGACGATCAGTTTAGACACTTGGTATTTATTGTGGTTACTTTTTTCTTTTTTTGTACTAGTTACTTCACCGAAAACTTACCTGCAGTTGTGTTTTGTTTCATTCACACATGTTTGAGTAACACTTTATTATTAGGGCCCAGTCCAGCAGAAGTAAACAACAAGGCCAAAAATTCAAGTTAATTCATCTGATATAAAAATGTATTGAACAGATACATATGTACTCGAGTTTATCAAACTGTTGACCTTTTTTCTGGACCATTTTTGGTTCTAAAGTTCCATATGTTTTAAACAGACCATGTATGAAACATGGAACAAAAATTATTTCCCAAATTTCAAAGACCCAAAAATCATGTAAATAAATGGATGTATTTCATCATATCTTGTGTTATTCCATCTGTTGATGAAGGGACATGATTTTTCAAAAAAAATAATATTTAAAATGATCAAAATTTGCTTGGAAGGACTGACATATTTTATAGAAATAGTTTCCTTTCATTTTGAAGTAATATTAAAGTTTTTCAGAAGAAAAAAGTGACAAATGATGTAAAATCCTGCACCTTCTACTTGTTTGTACAATTTTCCCTCCGTTACTTTTCCCTCCGTTACCATGAACTTTCTTAATAAAAAATCTCATGAGTCAAAAAAGTCAGAGGTTTTTCAACCTAATCTTGTACCATATGGTAGAAAACTATATGAAGCAAATATTCAAACCAGTTTGTTAAGGATATGTAAGTGAGAACCAAGAGTTATCACTGTTTGGATTTATTGCCCAAAAAAGTGCTGCATATTTCATTCCCTCCGTTACCGACATGAGTTTTTAAAAATTTTTTGTCAACAACTTGAAAGAATCTCACAGGTTTAACTTGACCCTGTTGGAGTGTAACTCTTTCCTACATTCTGATACTTTACTTATTTCAATAGTTCCTCTAGTTTCTGAATAAGAGACATTTGAATGTCAAAAATCTGCCCCTGTTTCCCTCCGTTACCACTCGACCGGACCCTGTGGTTACTTTTTTGTACTAGTTACTTCACTGAAAACATACCTGCAGTTGTGTTTTGTTTCATTCACACATGTTTGAGTAATTATTATTATAATTAGTCTACATCTGCAACACTCAAAATGTTCCACCGTGTCATGTCATGTAATATCAGTGGTGCAGCGTCAGGGCCTGTAAATTCTTCTCTGCTGAAAAGAAAATCTCTGAATCACAGACTGATGTTAATTATATTATTATAAATAAATGATTCCAAATGTCCTGTCCTCTTCCTTTCAGAGTTTTTTGGATATTTGTGCTGCTTCCACACATTTATTTTCATATTAAAGAGTTTGACCAATCACATTTCAGACGTCATCTGTTGCCGGGCAGAGTCAAAGTCACAGAGTCTGAGTCCTTCACAGTCCAATCTGCAGGAACTCGAACACTAAATAAATGTCATGAAACTGTCGCTTCAACCAATCAGATTTTGAGTTGGTGTCGTCAGGAACTTTAACAGAGAAAAACAACGACACCGAGTTCAGACCCGTGATCTAAACCAGGACTAAACCAGGACTAAACCAGGACTAAACCAGGACTAAACCAGGACTAAACCAGGACCAAACCAGGACTAAACAAGGACTAAACCAGGACCAAACCAGGACTAAAACTAACCAGGAGGACTAAACCAGGACCAAACCAGGACTAAACCAGGACTAAACAGGACTAAAAACCAAACCAGGACTAAACCAGGACTAAACCAGGGGACTGAAAACCAGGACTAAACCAGGACTAAACCAGGACTAAACCAGGACCAAACCAGGACCAAACCAGGACTAAACCAGGACTAAACCAGGACTAAACCAAACCAGGACCAAACCAGGACAAACCAGGACTAAACCAGGACTAAACAAACCAGGACTAAACCAGGACTAAACAAGGACTAAACCAGGACTAAACCAAACCAGGACCAAACCAGGACCAAACCAGGACCAAACCAGGACCAAAACCAGGACTAACCAGGACTAAACCAGGACTAAACCAGGACTAAAACCAGGACTAAACCAGGACTAAACCAGGACCAACCAGGACCAAACCAGGACCACCAAACCAGGACTAAACCAGGACCAAACCAGGACAAACCAGGACTAAACCAGGAACTAAACCAGGACTAAACAGGACTAAACCAGGACTAAACCAGGACCAAACCAGGACCAACCAGGACTAACCAGGACCCAAACCAGGACCAAGGACCAGGACTAAACAAGGACTAAACCAGGACCAAACCACCACCGATGCAAACCCAATCGAATTCCACACACTTTTGCGTCACCGTACACACACAGATTTCCTCCCGTAAACTCGTCTAAACGCGGAATAAAAAGTGAAGACGCGACGCCGCTTTTGCGTCTTCTGTTCAGACGTCATCATATAAACGTCGTCTGAACTCAGTAAAATTGGCAGTTCCAGATCTGAAATGATCAAAACACAGAGGAGCGCGTCACGTATCACCACACGACATCACAAGGTGGAACAGGGTGTTTTCAGTTTGGGAAAAGAACTCAAATTTGTGTGTCATTCGTTAATTCGTTTTTCAAAATAAAACCAAAAAAAAAAAGAAAAAAAAAAGGACTGAGCAGTTTAGTCCTGGTCGTCTGTTTCAGTCTGGTTCAGTCCTGTTTAGTGGTTTAGTCCTGGTTCAGTCTGGTTTAGTCCTGGTTTAGTCTGGTTCAGTCTGTTCAGTCCTGTTTTAGTTCTCGTTTAGTCCTGGTTCAGTCCTGTTTTAGTTCTCGTTCATCGTGGTTCAGTCCTGTTTTAGTCTGGTTTAGTCCTGGTTTAGTCCTGGTTTAGTCCTGGTTCAGTCCTGGTTTCAGTCCTGGTTCAGTCCTGGTTTAGTCCCTGGTTTAGTCCTGGTTTAGTCTGGTTTAGTCCTGGTTTAGTCCTGGTTCAGTCCTGGTTTAGTCCTGTTTAGTCCTGCTTTAGTCCTGGTTTAGTCCTGGTTTAGTCCTGGTTTAGTCCTGGTTTAGTCCTGGTTCAGTCCTGTTTTAGTTCTGGTTCAGTCCTGGTTCAGTCCTGATTTAGACCTGATTTAGACCTGATTTAGACCTGGTTTAGAACCTGTTTTTCCATTTAAACACAAAATCGAAAACTGAAAAAACAAATCATTATCTGCTTTTTCATTCATTCATTCATTCAAATTGTTGTTTTTTCATTTTCCTATTGTGAAAAACAACTGAAAGAACAACACACAGATGAACTATGTCTAAATATGCAGGGTTTGTTCGTTAAAGACGTGTAAATAAAACAAGTCAGGGTGTGTTTGTGATGAGGAATTGTCATGTTCATAATTATAATAATAACAGTGATAATAATAGGCGTGTATCGTGTAAATGATAGGTTTACTACCTTTGGTCATGATTACTTTCTCTAGTGGGGAGTGTTTTGTTTAACTGTGGCTCATTACAGAAATTAACTTAATACTGCTGATTCATTCTGCTCTTTATTGACTTTGTGTTGTTTTCATGTTGTGGCACGAAGTAGTTTTAATATTTCCATTGTGTCTATATTTATAGGCAAGGCAAGTGTATTTGTACAGCACAATTCGTACACAAAGTAATTCAAAGTGCTTTACGGAATAAGAAATACATTAAATCATAATAAAAACAAATCAAAACATAAATAATCATGAAGATTAAAATGAAAAAAAAGAGAGACATAAATTTATACAGGATATTGTACTTCAAAATCACTTTCACACCTACAGACTTTAACGGTCAATCAATCAATTAAACTTTATTTCTATTGCACCTTCCAACAGCCAAGGCCGACCAAAGTGCCGTACGACATTAAAACGAGATAAAAAAAAAACAATAAACATCGTACAAACGGGTCAACAAAGCACATTGCACCATTAAAATAGTAATAAAAAGAGTATTTCAGGTTTGCAATTATTACAAAATTCAGCAGCACGTGTCCTGACGAGGACCAGAGGGCGGGACCACATTACACCGGTTTTAAAAATCACTGCATTGGCTCCCTGTGTGTTTCAGGATCGATTTTAAAGTTCTTTTACTGGTTTTTAAATGTCTTAATGGTCTTGGGCCTTCTTATCTTTCAGAACTCCTTTTACCTTACGAACCCTCGCGGACCCTGCGCTCCTCCGGCAGCAGGCTCCTGGTCATTCCCAAAGTCAGGACCACACTCACGGAGAGGAGGCGTCTTTTCAGCACTATGGCCTCTCGTCTAATGGAACTGCCTGCCGGAGGAGCTCAGGGCTGCAGAGAACGTTCGTGTTTTTCAGAGCAGGCTCAAGACCCACCTTTTTAGCTTAGCTTTTGATTGAAATCTTATACTTTTACTTGTTTTTATTGTACACATTTTACTATATTTATTTATCTTAGGCATATTTTTTAGGATTTCCAGTGTTTCCTCTGTAGGAGCCTCTGCATCGGGAGTGGAGGTCAGCTGTGGCTGCTGGGTCTGTCCTGTGGGCTCCTGGTGGAGGGATGGTGCTTGGGCCTCAGGTGCCTGGGCTTCATCTCTCCCCTGGCTCCTGTGGTGGTTCCTGGTGGTGGTGGACGTCTCTCTGCTCCCGGTGCAGATGCTGCTTTTCTCAACTGGTTCGCCTGTATTCAGCCTCACATTTTATTGTGTCCGGTTATGTATTTTAGCGTGTGAGTGTGAGTGTGTGTGTGTGTGTGTGTGTGTGTGTGTGTGTGTGCATGTTTGTGTGTATGTGAGTGTGTGTTTGGGTTGTTTGACTATGTGGGTTGGGGGTGCGGGGTTGGGTGGTGGAATGCGGGACTGTTTTTAATCACTGTAAAGCACTTTGTGTTGCATTTTGTATGAAAAGTGCTTTATAAATAAAGTTTGATTTGATTTGATTTGATAAAAAAGAAAGTGTCACAGGACCATTTTGACTTCAGGGCTTTAACGCTCAATTCCGATTTTTTTGTGTGTGAAATCCGATGTTTTTTCGAGGTCGTTCACATTTCCAATTAAATGCGACTTGTGTGTGACTCCAGTGTGAACATTAAAAGTGTCCCACATGTGACACTGGAGACCGACGACGTCAACCGCAGCGAGCGTCTCTGTGTTTAAGAAGTTGTCCAAACATGGACGCAGCATCGAGCACCTGGAGATTTTAAGTTCCTCTCGTACCGGAGCCAGAACATGAACAACTTCTTTGTTTTAAGGAGGAGATTGAGAAGGAGAGGACGAGGTTTTTGGTCGTGGTGTTTTGTGGTGAGTGGAGATGTGCTTCACTTCAGTGACACGAGTTCATTAACAATTTTCTCCTCTTCAGCGCAGAATAGTGATGTTTGTGTCTTGTTGATAACGTGAGGTGGATGAATGCCTTTGGCCGTTCACACTGAAGTCACATTTCAAAAGATCAGATATGTATCAGTTTCAGGAGCACAGATCCAAGTGTCCTGGGTCACGTTTGTCGTTCAGACTGTCAATAAAAGATCCAGGTCACACAGGGGCCATAAAACTGGATTTGGGTCACGTCAGGCTGCAGTATAAACGCAGCCTAAGTGTTAAAAGCCATTCTAAATACCGTATTTTCCGGGTCATTAGAAGCGGTATAAGCCTCTAACCGCATCAAAAAACGACCGCGCCCCACAATCCAGAGCGCCCCGTACACGAATCCACTCGGGCGTCCCAGCACGACTTCAGTAAACTACAAACACACACGGAGCAGACAGCCTGCACGGCGAACACACCCACAGAACACTCTCGCTCCACGGACGAGGAACGGAACGGAGAACGAACACAAAAAAGTGAGCGCGACGTGCCGCTTCTAGACACGACACAACTGAGTCACCGCGAACACGCCGACAATCCGTTGGTCCCAACAACCTCCCTACACGCCACAAACTGAACAAAGCCCAGAGTCACGTGACGAACAAACAAACAAAAACCACTCACCCATCACATGTTGGGTTTCCTTTAAGTCTACTGACTTTATAAATCCAGAGCGACTAATTGTCCATAAAAATATGGTAAGTCTGTTTTAAGTTTGGCTCTGAACAGAGGCAGGTCAGGGATGGGCCGTAACTCAACAGGCAAAGAGTTCCAGAGTTTTGGACCGGCCACCGTAAAAGAACGGTCAATTACTTTAACGGCCATTATTAGGCTTTATTCGTACATGCCTTTTGGTCTTAATGCTGATGTTCCGTACCCTGATTCACTTTGTAGAAACTGTGTGACCTCGCAGCATTAGGATTCGTTCGCTCTACGGTAGGCGGGTACTTTTTTTAATTTAAGCAATCGCTGCTGTCTGGTCGCGACGTTTATAATGCGCCGCTAACGGAGAAAACTGGTATATTAAGCTTTTCCCAAATCCCGCAGGAAGAAAGACTATGAGTTCGTTTACATGCACATCAATAACCCGGTTATGATCGGGTTTTTTGAGTATCCCGGTTTCTTGATGGTGCATGTAAACGCAGTATCCCGGTTTCAGTATCCCGGTTATTAGAAACCGGGTTACTGTAGCTGGTTTATTCCGATAGTAACCGGGATACTTGTGGCATGTAAACGCAGTATCCCGGTTACTGCAACATAAAGTTGAGTCGCATGCGTCCAAAAGACACTTTCCAGTCTTTTCACCACAACAGTAGTGACATAAATAAATTGACCAACATAAATAAAGTGACCAAACGAGTGAAATGACTGTAAAATAAAGAGCTGCGCTAAACCTGCACACGTACAATCTGCACTCGTACGACCTGCACTCGTGTGACGCTGAAAAACTAAAACATGAACTATCTCCTGTACAACACACACAGAACACACTCACCATCATCAGCACCTCTTCTGTCACAAAAATAACACACATAATCCACAGAGTCGTGTCATTTAGTCCAAAAGAAACTGATCGCATCAGCGGCGCAAGGAGCGAGTTGTTTTTATCGCCGCTAACAGTTTATGCTAATTAGCCAAACGGTCTTAAGTTTCGTTTCTGTAAAACGTAAACAAATGTGATCACAGCTGAATTATCTGATCAAACGGGCTGATGTGTCTATAGTGTTTATGGTTTATATGTTGTAAAGTTGAGTTTATTTATGCAGAAGATTTTAATGAAGAATCTGCACAGTGGATTGTGGGAGATCTCGTAGCTCCTTAGCTTCTTATGCTAAAGGAGCTCACGGTTTGTATTTTTCCTGGTTTATGAAATTGATTTAAGTTAATTTTTGCGCTTGCGCATTTGTAAGATTATGTCAAGAAACCGGGATACTCCATTTGATCATGTACACGTGGATATGAGTGTCCCGGTTTCTCAGTGCGCATGTAAACACAGTAACACGAATACTGACATAACCGGGATATGGCTAATAACCGGGTTATTGATGTGCATGTAAACGCACTCAATAACGTCTTTCCCCTTGATGAAATTCACCAAACATTCTCTTTGTTTCGGCTTTAAATCCTCGATGTCGTGAATAAGTGTCAACACAGAATGTCTGACTCTTCGCTGATTGGCTGGTGCAAGAACTCGTGCTTCTGGAGTTTTTGTGAATCGTCTAGTGCAGGAGAGTCAAACTCATTTTGTTCCGGGGGTCGTGTCCAACTGACTTTGATCCAAAGTGCCGGATCAGAAAACTCATGTCATATAAACCCCAAAAATAACATAATTCAATATTTGTGCAGAAAACACAAATTATTACAGAATCTTTTTTAATTGATGAACTCTTTCTTATTATAATTTATAATATTATGAACAACCTGAAACTTTAAGAAAAATTCAATTTCAACACCATGTTTTAACATTAACTTGTTTGAAACAGGAATAAGTCCAATTTTTTGTTGTAAAATCCTGCACTCGGCTCACTTTTCTGTGTTGGACATTTTTCTGATGAGGGTGTCACGGTCAACAGTCAAAACGATCGTCCTTTAAGAGCGTTTGGAAAGAGACAAGTCTTCATTTGTGCTGCTCTGGTGGGAGGGGCCACGTACAGAGACGCTGGAGACGCTGCTGTGATAAACACCACAGAAAATTAACAAGATTTTAATAAAATATAATTAAAATATTTTAGTAGAAAATCACCCAAGGGCCAGATTAAAGGTCTTGGAGGGCCGGATCTGGCCCCCGGGCCTTATGTTTGACACCTGTGGTCTAGTGTTTTCCGATTCCTGATCTCGTCGCTGGAGAGAAATGAAATTGAGCGGAGGCACTTGGAGTCTGATCCAGGCTGCTGCTGCTGCTGAATGTGGGTTAACTGGTTTTGTGCAGAACAAGTGAAACATAAATCTGATAAGAACCTGGGCGTCGGCTCCCAGAAGCTCGTAACAAGTTTTTCAGAGAAGTGTGAGGCTAAAGTTCAGGTTCACTTGTTTTTATAGGTGTCGTGACCCAAAAACACAGATCAAAATGTATTTACAACGGGCACAGGAAGCAAAGATAAGGATGAAATCATTGTAGTACTTTTAGTTTTAGTTTTATAAGTTTTCTTGGTTTACACTGGGACACAGGACCAGGAGTAAAACTACAAAACAGGTAGTGTAGTAAATATTCCAAAATAGGAGAAGCTTGTGAAAACAAAAACTACAAAAAACATCAAAACAAACAAACAATAACAAAAAATATACAGGGGAAAAATGCTCAAACGTGACCCTTTTTCTCCGGCTAAATTTCTAAATTTTTCCATGACTTTTCCATGACCTAAAGTGA